AGACACAAGGTACCAGAATCTCTGGGACACATTTAAAGCAGTGTCTAGAGGAAAATTTATAGCAATAAATGCACATATGAGAAGCAAGCAAAGATCTAAAATCAAAACCCTATCATCAAAATTGAAAGAGCTAAAGGAGCAAGATAAAAAAAACTCAAAAGCTAGCCGAAGACAAGAAATAACTAAGAACAGAGCAGAACTGAAGGAGATAGAGACACAAAAAACCCTTCAAAAAAACCAATAAATTGAAGAGCTGTTTTTTTTGAAAAGATCAACAAAATAGACAGACTGCTAGCCAGATTAATAAAAAAGAAAAGAAAGAAGAATCAAATAATTGCAATAAAAAATGATAAAGGGGATACCACCACAGATTCTACAGATATACAAACTATCATCAGAGATTACTACAAACAACTCTGTGCTCATAAACCAGTAAACCTGGAAGAAATGGATAAATTCTGGACACTTGCACCCTCCGAAGACTAAACCAGGAAGAAGTCCAAACTCTGAATAGACCAATAATAAGGGCTGAAGTTGAGGCAGCAATTAATAGCCTACCAACCAAAAAAAGCCCAGGTCCAGATGGGTTCACAGCTGAATTCTACCAGGAGCTCGTACCATTCCTTCTGAAACTATTCCAAATAATCCAAAAAGAGGGAATCCTTCCCAAAAAATTTTATGAGACCAACATCATCCTGATACCCAAACCCAGCAGAGACTCAACAAGAAAAGAAAACTTCAGGCCAATATCCATGATGAACATAGATGCAAAAATCTCCAATAAAATACTGGCAAACTGATTGTAACAGCACATCAAAAAGGTTATCCATCACAATCAAGTAGGCTTCATCCCAGGAATGCAAGGCTGGTTCAACATACACAAGTCTATACACGTAATTCACCACATAAACAGAACAAAAGACAAAAACCACATGATTATCTCAATAGATGCAGAGGCCTTTGAAAAAATTCAACAGCACTTTCTGCTAAAAACTCAATAAACTCGGTATCAATGAAATATATCTCAAAATAAGAAAAGCTATTTATGACAAACCTACAGCCAATATCATACTGAATGGGCAAAAACTGGAAGCATTCCCTTTGAAATCAGGCACTAGACAAGGATGCCCTCTCTCACCATTCCTATTCAGTGTAGTATTGGAAGCTCTAGCCAGAGCAATCAGGGAAGAAAAAGAAATAGGAAAGGAGGAAGTCAAATTGTCTCTATTTACAGATGATATGATTGTGTATTTAGAAGACCCCATCATCTCAGCCCAAAGTCTCCTGAATCTGATAAGCAACTTCAGCAATGTCTCAGGATACAAAAGCAATGTGCAGAACCACAAGCATTCCTATACACCAATAACAGATGTAAAGAGAGCCAAATCAAGAACGACCTGCCATTCAGCTACAAAGAGAAAAAAATACCTAGGAATACAACTGACAAAGAATGTAAAGGACCTCTTCAAGGAGAACTACAAACCACCACTCAAGGAAATAAGAGAGGACACAAACAGATGGAAAAATACACCATGCTCGTGGTTATTAAGAATCTATACTGTGAAAATCACCAAACTGCCCAAAGTAATTTATAGATTCAGTGCTATCCCCATCAAGCTACCTTTGACCCTCTTCACAGAACTGGAAAAAACCACCTTAAACTTCATATGGAACCAAAAGAGAACCCGCAGAGCCAAGTCAATTCTAAGCAAAAAGAACAGGCTGGAGGCATCATGCTACCTGACTTCAAACTATACTACAAGGCTAAAGTAATCAAAACAGCATGGTACTGGTAGCAAAACAGATATATAGACCAATGGAACAGAACAGAGGCCTCAGAGGCAATGCTACACATCTACAAGCATCTGATCTTTCACAAACCTCACAAAAACAAGCAATGGGGAAAGGATTCTCAATTTAGTAAATGGTGTTGGGAACACAGGCTAGCCACATGCAGAAAGCAGAAACTGGACCCCTTCCTGACACCTTACACTAAAATTAACTCTAGATGGATTAAAGACTTAAACATAAGACCTAACACCATTTAAAACCTTAGAAGAAAACCTAGGCAAAACCATTCAGGACATAGGCATAGGCAAGGACTTCATGACTAAAACACCAAAAGCATTGGCAACAAAAGCCAAAATAGACAAATCAGATCTAATTAAACTCCAGAGCTTCTGTACAACAAAAGAAACAAACATTAGAGTGAACTGGCAACCAACAGAATGGGAAAAAATTTTTGCAATCTACCCATTTGACAAAGGGCTAATATCCAGAATCTACAAAGAACTAAAACAGATTTACAAGAAAAAAAAAAAAAAATAAAACTAACAAACCTATTAAACTGTGGGTGAAGGACATGAACAGACACTTTACAAAAGAAGACATATATGAGGCCAATAAACATGAAAAAATGCTCATCATCACTGGTCAATAGAGAAATACAAATCAAAACCACATTGAGGTATCATCTCATGCTAGTTAGGGTGGCAATCATTAAAACAATCTGGAGACAACAGTTGCTGGAGAGATGTGGAGAAATAGGAATACTGTTACACTGTTGGTGGGAGTGTAAATTAGTTCAACCATTGTGAAAGACAGTGTGACGATTCCTCAAGGACCTAGAAATAGAAATTCCATTTGACCCAGCAATCCCATTACTGGATATATATCCTAATTTTTATAAATCATTCTATTATAAAGACACATGCACACGTATGTTCAACACAGCACTGTTTACAATAGAAAAGACCTGCAACCAACCCAAATTCCCATCAATAATAGACTGGACAAGGAAAATGTGGCACATATACACCATGGAATACTATGCAGCCATAAAAATCGATCAGTTTATGTCCTTTGTAGGGACATAGATGAGTCTGGAAACCATCATTCTCAGCAAACTGACACAAGAACAGAAAATCAAACACCACATGTTCTCACTCGTAGACAGATGTTGAACAATGAGAACACATGGACACAGGGAGGGGAGCATTACACTCTGGGATCTGTTGGGGGGGACTAGAGGAGGGAATGCGAGGGGGTAGGGAGTAAGGGAGGAATAACATGGGGAGAAATGTCAGATATCAGTGATGGGGGAAACCATATTGCCATGTATTTACCTATGCAACAATCCTGCATGTTCTTTACATGTACCCCAAAACCTAAAGTGCAATAAAATATTTATATAAAATAAAATTTAAAAAAGAAGAAATAGACAACCCAAATAGCCTATATCTATGAAAAAGAAATTGAATTTGTAGTTAAAAACCTTGACTCAAAGGAAATATCAAGCCTAATATTCTACTGCACTTTTAAGGAAGAAGTAATATCCATTCTACATAAAATCTTCCAGGATGTTAAAGAGGGATATCCAACTTATTTTATAAAGCCAACATTATGCTGATATTAAAACCAGAAAAAAGACATTATAAGGAAGCTACAACAAATTTTTCTCATATAGACACAAGAATGCTAAAAATATTTTATGAAATTTTAGTATATAACAAGGATAACACATCATGACCAAGTGAGGTTTCTACCAGAAATGCAAGGTTGGTTCAAATTTGAAACCTAGCCAATGTAATTCCCAATGTTAACAGACTGTAAAAGAAAAATTATATGATCATCTCAGCTAGATACTGAAACAGGCTTTGTCAAAATACATTTCTCCCCATTCCTGTTAAGACTCTTAGCACACTAGGAATGGAAAGGAACTTTCTAAGCCATATAAAGATCATCTATGAATAAAGTAAATTAACATAGTACTTAATGGTGAAAATCTGAATTTTTTCCTTCTATGATTAGGTACAAGGCAGGGATGTCTGCTCTCATCACTTCTATTCAACATTGTACTGGAGATTATAGCCATTGCAATAAGCACAATACAGAGATAAACAGCATGCAGATCTGAAACTATAATGGAAAAATTATAAAATTTTTAAAAGACACTTATTAAAAAAAGAGCAGGCCTAAAACTAGAAGGAAATATTTGCAAAAACATGCATGTAACAAAGGTTTAATCTAGAATATATGAAGAACTTTCACAATGTCATTAAAAAAATAGGGTCAACAACCCAATTTAAGAAGTGGGCAAGAGATTTAACAATAGAATTCCCATAAAAAGATATATGCATGGTGACTAAGAATTGGAAAAGATGTGCACCTCATAAGGAAAATGCAAATTAAAACCATAATAAGATTCTAATACATACCCATTAGGTTGGCTAAAAATAAAAAAGACTGATCATTCTAAGTTTGGGGAAGATGTGGAGAAAAGAAAGCTCTTATGCTGCTGGTGGGAATGTAAAATGGGACAATCATTTTGGAAAACAATTTGTCTATTTCTCAGAAACTTAAACATACAACTACTATAAGACACGGTTATTTCACTTATAGGTATTATCCAAGAGAAAAGAAAGGATATATCCAAACAAAGACTTGTACACAAATGTTCATATTATCTTTGCCAGAAATTGGGAACAACCTAAATGCCCCTCAACATGTAAATAGATCAACAAATTATAGGCTAACCATACAGTTGAATAATACTCGTCAATAAAAAGGAATGAACTATTGATGCACATAAAAACATGAATGAATCTTAAAATAATCATGCTGAGTTAAAGAAACCAGATTTTAGAAAGAGAACTCACCATTATTTATATAAAATTCAAAAAATTACATGCTAATCTTTAGTGACAGAAAGCAGACAAACATTTGCCTGTTGGAGAACCAGAATCATAACAAAACTTGGGGTGATGAGGATGTGCATTCTCTTGATTGCAGTGGTATTTTCCCATGTGTTGTGTATTTGTCGAAATTTGTCTCATTAAATTGTGCACTTTGAATATGTGTATCTTATATTATGCTAATTAGACTTTACTAAAGCTATAAAAATATTGTAAAACATGGTGACTTTTCAGAAAGGTTTGTAAAGAAAAGAGGAAATGATAGAAGTCAAACTAAATAGATAATGGTAAATAGCTGTTCCGTACCTTTTTAATTACTAAGGGATTCTCACTGGAAGTTTTGAAGCACTCTTTAATTTTTCTACTGGGCTCTGAAATGAAATTGACAAAAAATGTGTTTAGATTAAACTGAAAAAGAATTTATGTCACATGATATATGTGTCAATTGCTGAAATAGATGAGAGTATTTCTGACTTTAAGGTCAATTCAGGAATTTGTTTATAAATATTAGGAAATTTGCAAGTAAAATGGCATTATAACAACATAAAGTATTTGCATTTAAAAACCAGTTCTATACCCAAGATGGTGATATAAGAACACATGGCAAATGTTTTCTTGATCTGGTTAAACTGATTTTAAAAGTATATATTTTAGTATAAGATATATTTTTCTCTGTTTCCTGTCCATATAAATGTCACTTTCTCTAATTAAAGAGAATTTAGGTGTGTTATTTACCCTTTAAACAGAAAGATGGTTTGTGCTGAATTATAATTACCATTCTTTATTTTCTTTTTTCTTCGAACAGCCTCTCAACCCTACCCATTTCATACTCAGTCATATAACTAAATCCCCCTAAGTTACCCTAAAACCACTTAAAGTTTTACTTAATTTCCCTTTACATCAATTTATAGATAAAAGATGACCTTAGGCTATATCTAGTATTAGAAATCTTATTAGGTGGTGACACCTGATTCCCATCAAAGGCCTGTTTCTTGCAAATGTAGTTTCTAAATTTCTAGGTTCTATAGTATAAAAAGGAATATGAGAAAGAAGGGAGAATAAGTGGGCTTTGGCTCTTTAGTGGAAGAGAGGGAAGGGAAATTCTTGAAAGGATGAAATGATTTAAGTGTGAAGACCTTAGAACGGTATATGTCCACATAGTGAGTACTCTATAATTGGTCACTCTTACTGCTATCTTTAGATATATATTTTACATTATCCCATTATAATTTTCATGTATCCTGACAGTTTTAGTAATAGCATGTAAATTGTATAGGGCAAGAGAAAGAGAAGAACTGGATATAATTTCTACCTTGCAGAATTCCTTCTATTTTACCTTGCCGAATTCCTTGCTTGTATTTTACCTTGCCCTCTGGATTTTTCCACATTTTACTTTTGATCAACACCTTTTTCATTCAATTCAATAAAAATTAATTAATTCAATTGTTTACTAAGGACCAGGCACTATGCTGGGACCTGGGGAGAAAGGAAGGATGACAAAAACACAGGAAGCAATAACACAGGGCCTGACCATAAGGACACGACAGTCTCATGAGTACAATGTGAACATACAATTTCATTCCTATTGTGTTTTCTGGACTTGGTTTTTGTCTGACATAGTTTCCCTATCAGTGTTGGATCAACATTCATTTCTGGCATCTGTTAGCTAGTTTTGTAGGGATTAGAGACTAGAACCACACCCAATATGTCTTGGATACGACTACTACTAATAGTAATAACATTTTTGACATTATTGTGCTACTGAAATCAGATTAGAAGAGTGAAAAAAATTTATGTCCCACACAGTGAGGAAACTTTATGACCATGTAAAAATCACTGCAGCTATTTTAGCATTATATGGACTCCCCACACCCTTGTTTGCTGGAGCCATAAAGAAACATATCATCAGCTCTAACTCAACTCACCAGAATGAGGCCGTGGGGGCACTTTGGCACTGTTTGGGGCTGGCGACACTTCTCTTACAGGGCTTTCCTGACCTGCAGTGCCGGGAGCGTAACTGCACTTGGCAAATGGTATCCTGTTCTTCTCTAAGTGGTTAGACTGGCCAACTCCCCAAAATGTTCCAAATGCATTCTCATCATCATTCACAGTACAGACGGGGATGTTATTCAAGCCTAGATGAGTAAAGATTTAAAAAAAAAAAGATCAAATAACCAGATAAGGTTTTTTGAAAGGTTTTCTTTGAATGATCAACAATTTCCCAACCAAATATCGTTTAATATATATAAAATATTGGACTTCAAACTGTATGAGCCAAAAAAAAATAAAATTGTATTATGAACCAATGCAAGGTGGACATTCTTTGAAAGTCAGTGTAGCCAATTTTGTTTGTAATACATGCTTCCTTAAAATCTCCTGCCATTTTCTCAGTCTTGAGAACCAGACCCACATTTTTAATCTTGGTCTGGGATTCAAGTGGAGTAGACCTTCTTCTATCCCAGACAAATATCTCTCTTCCTAAAGCTTGGCAGTGACTAAGAGGGTTTGTGCTAGTTTTCTTCATGAATGTCAGATTTAATTTTTTTTTTAAGCATCCACAATGCCTCAATGTAAGTAGGTCTTTAGAAGAGATACACTGGTTCCTTTTTTGTGCTGGTAGAAGGTAAAAATCTGTAGGAACTGGGATTAGGAGGCAGGATAAGGTAGATTGTGACAGAAGAAGGAAGGAGAAGTTGGTACAAAAGGAACTCCTTCCTCATTCGAGAGATTTCTGGGTTCAATCACTCTCCTAAAAATAGCTATTTGCTTTTGGCTCAAATATAGGATTTGGTTCAAATATTAAATTATAGACAGGTTTTTTTTTTACAATATCAATGCTACATCATGTGGAATTGGACAGCTTGGGAAATGGAGGTGTGCTGGGCATTGCTTTCTGTTGGTGAGTTATGAGAGGTAAGAGGTGGCTGCTTTGTCTTCCCAGAAATTGCCAGGCAAGCCTCCGGATAGTGTTTTCTACACTAGCTCATTTTTCCAAATGTTTCTCCAGTACCACTGGTTCACTTCATTCTTAACTGTTTTCTCAAATAACACCAAAAACATCTTTTCTGGCAACTCTGTCTGATACATGCCCCATCACTCTCTGTCCCCTATGTGCTTTTATTTTTCCATAGCATTTGTCACATATCATAATACATCTGTTTGCACATTGCATCTCTGAGCTGCATTAGAATGTAAGATTAAATGATTTAAGATATAGATCTTAAATATATAATACGGAATTATCACAAATTTAAGATCTACATCTTAAATACACATTTAAGCTAATGTTTATTCAATAATTTGGAATATTAGAATATTTAACAAATTAGCTTTGGATTTACAGTTTAAAATGTTAAACCGAGTTTACATTTCTGGTATTAAGTAGAACACTATGAAAATATTATTAAGTTGGTAACAAGTAAAGAAATGGCTTAAATAATGTATCCATATTTGTAAGTATAATTTATTTAACTTACAGGAGTAATTTACAGCTCAGTGGGAATTTGTTGAATATGTGAAATATTTTAAAAATCAAGTATATTTAATGAATAAATGCCATTTAAAGCTTTAAAGGTATTTAACAAAGTTTGTAAATGGGACCAAATGTTAATCAAAGATTTCTCCCCCAGAAGTGAGTATTAAAATGTAGTAGATTTCTAAGGCAGACAAAAAACGTTGGAATTGAAAATTTTCTTTCAACTGAACGTATATTACTATGAGCATGGCTTTGTGGTAGGCGTTATAGGAGAGCTGAAGACATAAAAATCAGTACCTTGCATGCCAATAGTTTTATAGTATAAGATAATTCAAAGCAAAATGTGAAATAAAATATAGAAGAGGTATATATCGAATATTTTAAAGTATGTAAAACCAGAAAAATCATTCGGTTTAATACTATTTGTTCTTCTTAGCATAAAACAAAAACAGTTTCAATTAAAAATTAAGTGTGAATTTTTGGGGTTTTTTCCATACATAAGTTGTGAAAAACCATGCCCTCAGGTTTGACCAAGACAGTGTATTACAAGGCCATCTATGACTTATTCTCTTTTTTTTTTTTTTTGAAATGGAGTCTTGGCCCTATTGCCCAGGTTCAAGCAATTCTCTGCCTCAGCCTCCCAAATAGGTGGATTTACAGGCACCCACCACCACGCCCAGCTAATTTTTTTTTTTTTTTTTTTTTTTTTTTTTAGTAGAGACAGGGTTTACCATCTTGGCCAGACTGGTCTTAAACTCCTGATCTCATGATCCACCTGCCTTGGCCTCCCAAAGTGCTGGGCTTAAAGGCATGAGCCACCATGCCCAGCTCATCTATGACTTCTTTACAATGACATCTGCTTGCTTCCCCTCGGCCTTCATTTTCCTAATATCCTTTAGGAATACGACTTTGCTAGTCTCCTAGCCATTTTCCTTGAATTTGTTTCCCTCTGCTGGTTCTTTCTGTGCTGCTTAGCTAGGCTTTCCTCACTCTACTCCAGGTTCAACCTTCTCTGCTCCTCTCTCTGCCCTGTCCCATTCCTCATTCCATCCCACTTTGATGACTGAGTCAGTCTCTTAACTGATCTCCCAATCTCTACTGAGGCCCTGCTCCTCTTCCACTTTCTACAGTATAGTTAGAATGATTTTTTAAAAATGAGATCAATTTCTCAAGGACAGAGAACTATGAGACTGCTGATGTAGAATATAAATCCTGTTTAAAGTCTATCAGTAACTACAAATTTATCTGGATGCAATTTAAACTCCTTTCCTTTCATAATAATTTATCTAGCACCTCACATGTGGCAACCGCTCCTTAGGAATTTGAGGGAAATCGTGAACAAAACAGACACACCTTCATGGAGCTCACAGCTTGGTGGAGGATGTTTGAAACTATTCAAATAGTGATGAAAATAAGTATTTAGTCATAAGGTGTGGTAATTGTTGTAGTACACTCACCATCTACTTAGATCATGCCTTCAGTTCATAGGAACTCAGCTCCCCAGCTGCCACATGTGTCAGTTACTAGCCAACTCCCCAAAATTTTCCAAATGCATTTTCATCATCATTCACAGTACAGATGGGAATGTTATTCAAGCCTAGGTGAGTAAAGTTACTTATGGCTCATTCTGAGTCCCTCTCTGGGAATTGCTCTTGGCTAAAGGGAGCTCTTGTACACGGTGAGAGCTTTTTTTTTTTTTTTGAAATGGAGTTTTGCTCTTGTTGCCCAGGCTGGAGTACAATAGTGCAAGCTCGACTTACTGCATCCTCCACCTCCCAGAATCAAGAGATTCTTCCGCCTTAGGCCCCCGAGTAGCTGGGATTACAGGCACCTGCGACCATGCCCAGCTAATTTTTGTATTTTAGTAGAAACAGGGTGTCACTATGTTGGCTAGGATGGTCTTAATCTCCTGACCTCGTGATCTGCCTGCCTCAGCCTCCCAAAGTATTGGGATTACAGGTGTGAGCCACTGCGCCAGCCCACAGTGAGAGCTCTTGTACATAGTGAGTGGTTGGTGGGAATTACAAAGGCCTGGTTCCCTTACCTGAAATCGAGACACCTCTGAAGCTCTACTGCTCCTTATGAGATTGGCTGAGGTCCCTATTGTATCCGCAGTTTCACTTCCCCTTCTACCCAGTTCTGCTTCCTTCACTTACTGCTTACTTATCAGTGTTGTTCCCAAAAGCACTTCCTGATAAAGCTCCTTCACACAAATATCCACCTTCGAGTCTATCTAAGACAATTGCTCTAAAGAAAAATATAGAGTACTATGAAAAAATGCCATAAGAAAATCTAATTTAGATTGAGGATATGAAGCCTGAAAAGTCTCTCTGAAGTGATATTTAAACCAAAATAACACAAATAATGAGGAGAGGTTTATGATTAGAGAGAGGATTATGTATATAAATCCAGAGGTGGAAAGGGCTTGTGACATGTTCAAGCAACTTAGACAAGTCCACTGTGGCATATACATAAGGGAGGAGGGCAGTTGACAGATGAGATTACATAATAGGGAATGTTTTGGCCTATGTCAAAATTAACCACCTTATCCTAAATGCATGGGAAGCCTCTGAAGGATTTTGTGTAGGATAAATAGTCTATTTTTTTTTTTTTAAGAGGCAGGTCTTGCTCTGTCTCCCAAGCTGGAGTGCAGTGGCACAGTTATGGCTCACTGCAGCCTTGAACTTCCGGGCTCAAGTGATTGTCCTGTCCCAGACTCCTGAGAAGCTGGAACTACAGGTGCACCACCAACTCCTGACCTCAATCTATCTTTCCACCTTGGCTTCCCAGAGTGTTGGGAATGCAGGTGTGAGCTACTGAGCCTGGCCTAAACAGTCAAATTTACATTTTAATATGACCTTTCTGGTTGTTTTGTGGAGAATTGACTGGAAAGAGGGCAAGAGTGGAAGTAAGGCTGTTATGAGGTTTACAAATTGCAAAGTAGTAGTCAAAGCAGGAGACCAGAGTGGCCTAGAATGGAGCTGTGACAGTAGCCATGGAGAGAAGTGCTGAATTTACAAAATATTTAGAAGGAAAATGACAAATCAAGTGAAGCATTGCAAGGGTAAGAGAATGAGGGAGAGGAGTTAAAGAAGAACTTCAATTTACAGTACCATTTATTTGTTAGGATACAGTGGTTGGGGATCTTGCTTTTGAAGGAAGATCAAGAGTTCAGTTTTGAAGAGCAAAGTTCAAGGTGCCCATGAGACGTTCTGTGCATTGCAAGTAGGCAGTTGAATATACAGGTCTAAACTTTTAAAGAGGTGTCTGAGTCTAAGACACATATTTGAAAAATATGTTGTTACAGAAGCTACATTTTTTTTTAAATGTGAAGAAAGAGAGAGAGGAATAGAGGGGTGGTTAGCTGTGTCAAATGCAGTAAAGAGGTCAAGATGAAGATTGCAGTGTAGTGGATATCTGTCAGTTCTGCCCAGGACTCATTTCTATCTTTCCTTAACAACAGTACCCAGGTTATTTTTACTTCATTATCCTCCCCTTATCTACCACTCTGCAGTCCCGGCAGCCATATGTTCTGGGGAAGACTGAACCCATTCCCCTTGACACAGTGATTGGTTATCTGAACTATGGCCTACTAATCTCTGCATGTCACTTCCATGTCCATGAGGATTCATTCAGGGATGGCATGTGACCTGCTGTGTGCTGATAAAATGAAAATATAAGAGGAATTTTGCTGAAATCTGCTGGAAAGAAGTCTGAGTGACATGCAGATGTGAAGTTAAGAAGTGATGTGCTATGTTGTCACTATGAGAGGAACAAGTCAGTTCTAGGATGAGTCTGGGATTGTGGAAAGCAGAGAGAAGAGATTAAAAATGGCAGGTTGTTTAACTGGGCCGTCAAATCAAACCTAAAGCCCACCTTCCTGATGGAATTTCCAGTTATTTGAGCCAATAGATCTTTGTTGTACAAACCAAGTTGATTTGTTTTTGTTACTTTACAACAACAGGCATCTTTACTGATTATGCTTATTGGATTTGTCAAACTGATGGATAGTGGTAACCTTAGCAAGCATAGCCTATGCACAATGGTGGGTGAAAAGGTCAGGCTTCAGTGGGCTAGAGAGTGGCTCACAGGTGAGGAAGTAAAAACCATGAATGTAGACATCTCTTTTGGTTGTGAAGAAATATAAATTCCCTAGCATGATATACAGAGCCTGCCTAAATCTGGCCTCTTAATCCACTTCTCGACCCCAATTTGCCATTATCCCTTCCCTCCTCCCAACATTCTCCATAATAGGCACAAGGATCTTCTACAGTTTCCTAACATTCTATGCTGTGTTGACACTTGCCCTCCTTGTTTATATACTTAACCCTGATGTAGGTATTATTATTATTATTGACATTTTACAGAGTGACTTGACCAGCCAGAGGGAAAGCTCTTGCCTATATTTCATTCTAAATAAATATTTGTTGAATGAATGAATAAAAATATAGATGGCTGAATGAATAAAGAGATGATAGATACTCATTCCTTTAAATATTTCAATGTTGATGACTCCCAATGTGCATCTCTACTTCTAAGTTCGTATTTGAGATTCAGACATAGATTTCTATTCTAGGTTTGGGATTGTGGGCAGCCCATTTCCATTTAGATGCCTGGTGTTACTACACATGCAGTGTGTATACAACTGAATTGATTTTAGTCTAATGAGAATGTGGGCTCCATGAGGGTAGGGACATTTTTTTTTTCTTTCTCAGAAACTTTGTTCTATCTCTCACATCTAGAACAAGGTTCCTTGTGTATTAGAAATTGAATATGTATTAGAAATGAATCTTCTAAATGACATCACTTCACCTTCTCCCTTTCAGCTTTCCTGTTTGATCAAAAGCAACACATTTTTAAATTATAATAACTAAGAGTGTGGAAAGGTGCAGAGGGTGTGTGACTTGTTCCTTTTCACCTTCTATACTAATCAGTTACCAGGACCTTTTCATTTCTTCCCTACAAACTCTCTCTAGCCTCATATTCTGCCATTGTTTGGTCTTGCTGCCAACAGCATAGCAGGATGCTTGTCCTTATGTATCTGAACAGGTGCAACAGCTTCCTAATTCTCTTTTCTATCTCCACACTCTGCCCCCTTTTCAACAAAGTATGGTTTATTTCTATCGTGACATTATTTTGTTTCATTTTACAGTTTTTTAATAATTATTTTTATTTTTATTTCAATGTTTTTGAAGATAGGTGATTTTTGGTTACATGGATAAATTCTTTTTTTAACTTTTATTTTAAGTTCAGGAGTACAACTACAGGTTTGTTATATAGATAGGCCAACTTGTGTCATGGAGTTTGTCGTACAGATTATTTCATCATCCAGGTGTTAAGCCTCGTACCCATTAGTTATTTTTCCTAACACTCTCCCTCCTCCCAATCTCAACCCTCTGAATGGCCCCAGTGTATGTTGTTCCCCTCTATGTGTCCCTATGTTCTCATCATTTACCTCTCACTTACAAGTGAGAATATGTGGTATTTGGTTTCCTGTTCCTGCATTAGTGTGCTGAGGATAATGGCTTACAACTCCACCCATATCCCTACAAAGGACATGATCTCATTCTTTATATCATTGCATAGTATTCCTTGGTATATATGTACCACATTTTCTTTATCCAGTCTATCACTGATGGGCATTTAGGTTGATTCCATGTCTTTGCTACTGTGAATAGTGCTGCAGTGAACATACAGGTCCAGGTATCTTTATAACAGAATGATTTATTACTGGATAAGTTATTTAGTGGTGATTCTGAAATTTTGGTGCACCCATCATTCAATCAGTGTACACTGAACCCAATATGTAGTCTTTTATCCCTCACCCTCTTCAACCTTCCCACTGAGTCCCCAAAGTTCATTATATAATTCCTATGCCTCTGCATCCTCTAGCTTAGCTCCCACTTGTACGTGAGAACATAGAGTCTTTGGTTTTCCATTCCTGAGTTACTTCACTTAGAATAATGGCCTCATCACCATCTGAGTTGCTGCAAAAGATATTATTTCATTCCTTGTTATGGCTGAGTAGTGTTTCATGGTATATATATACCACATTTTTAAAAATCTACTTGGTTAATGTGCACTTAAGTTGGTTCCATATCTTTGTAATTGTGAACTGTGCTGGTGTAAACATGCATGCACATGTGTCGTTTTCATATAATGACTTCTTTTCCTTTTATTAAGATACCCAGTAGTGGGATTGCTGGATTGAATGGTAGTTCTGCCTTTAGTTCTTTAAGGAATCTACATACTGTTTTTCCATAGTGATTGTATACTAGCTTACATTTCCATCGTAAGTGTAAAAGCGTTCCCCTTTCACCACAACTATGCCAACTTCTATTGTGTTTTGACTTTTTAATTATGGCTATACTTACAGGAGTAAGGTGATATCTCATTGTGGTTTTAATTTGCATTTCCTTGATAATTAGCAATGTTGAGCATTTTTTCATGTTTGTTGGCTGTTTGTATATCTTCTTTTGAGAATTTTGTTTCATGTTATTTGCCCACTTTTTGACGGGAGTATTTGTTTTTTTTTCTTGCTTGATTTGTTTGAGTTCCTTGTAGATTCTAGATACCAGTACTTTGTCGGATGTATAGTTTGCAAATATTTTCTCCCACTCTGTGGGTTGTCTGTTTACTCTGCTGATAATTTCTTTTGCTTTGCAAAAGCTTTTTAGTTTAATTAGGTCCCATTTATTTATTTTTGTTTTTGTCGCATTTGCTTTTGTGGTCTTAGTCATGAATTATTTGCCTAAACCAAATAACATTGGTTTTTAATAACACTTTTTCTGTCACCTCAGGAATATGACACATTTTCATCTGCTGGGGCTCACTATGACAGCATTTCTCTTAGGGATAAGAATCTCAGGGATGGGTGTGAGGATCTATTTAAATTACACCCAATAGCCAATGTTGATATGCTATTTTGTGTGGGGGGAGTATCACACAGTCACGCCATCCTAGGTGAATTGACAAGTTCACCTTGTGAAGTCCAAACAGTTCTGCTTGTTTTACATACATTTCATAACCTTGAGAAATGTACCTCTCAAAACATTTTCTCTTTATACCTCTCATAACATCTCAGAATACAAGATGTGTTTTAAAACTGTGTACTTTTAAAATTCTTCAATCCAAGCTCAATTGAACTACCTCCCTCAAAAGGGAAATGCAGTTATTAATGTATAATTTTGAGTAATTCTATCATATAAAGTTAAAGTAAAAGGAGAGAGGAAGGAAAAAGGAGAAAGAGATGGAGGGAGAGAATGAGGGCAGGAGGCAAGGAGGAAGGGAGAAAAGACGAGACATAAGGGAAGGAGGCAGGAGTAAAACATGCTTCCTTAGGGGTGATATTTAGCATGTAGATGCTAACATGGATGTGTGCATTGTTAAAATACTAAAATATTTTTATATCAATTGGTCAAGGCTGCCCTGAGCTCTGAGTGGTCCCCATTTCCCTGACCACCTTGGCCTCTCTCCAGCCACCTATCCTAACAATCAAGTGACTTAAGGGTTACTGTCTGGCAAAGAGGGACTGCAGGCCTCAACTCTCACTCCAGTGCTGGCAGCTAGTCCCAATAGTCAATGACCATATCTTGCCACTAGTTAAATATTTTTACTAGCAGCCTTGTGTTTACCCACCAGAATTATCAAATGGTCCAAGTGTAGAGAATAGTACATTCTACATCTATATACTAGGATCTTAAACCACCTTACCTTTGATGTGGCAGACTCTTCTGGGATGAGGGGTGTGCCTGACTAGAAAGCAGCTTACATTTCTAGCCGTAATATGGCTGCCTTTACCCTCAATCCAAAGAGCAGATGTCGAGGGGTTGAGATTCATGTTCATGGAGTATTTGTTTATTTTCCCCTCTCCACTGTTGCCACAAAGGTTTTTGGAGTCTAAATTGATTGACCTCACTTCCAGATGTGCTCAGACCCTGAAATCACAAAATGACAAACATTCTGACAAGAGTTTCTTGTCACTTTCTTATACATCAAACATTTCTCCATCTTCTTTGCTTGAACTAAATTGTTTCTCAGGTTACAGCAATGTGAGTCTGTTTTGCTTTCAGACCAAATTTTTGTGAACATTGCAAAGTGCAACCATGGATGGATCATAAAAAATTTTCCTACAGGAAAACCAAAGTGTTTGATTTTGAAATATTTATATCACATTTGTAAAAAGTATAAAGTATATTCTGTTTTTACTTTCATTTGAGCTCACTTTGTTGACTTACCAACATAAAAATGTATTATGTGATTATCAATTTTGATAAACTTAAATGATGACTTTTAAATATAATACTCACAAATGCACTTTACATTTAATTAATTTTAAGTTAAGACCATTCATATTGCACCTATAAAACCCAGCATCATAAATGTGTATCATCTTCTGAGAGAATGGTAAAACCCAAAGGAGGAAAAAAATCCAAAAGAGTGATATATGTAGAGATGATAAACCAGAGAACCTTTGCCATATTGTTGTTTGCAATACTCAGTAACAATTAATGGTCCTTCAGTTATTCAGCAAACATTTTTAGACACCTAGGAGATTTTAGACCTAGGAGATTTAAGACATTTTAGACCTAGGAGATTAAAGACAATGTTATGTATTTTAGTGAATTTACAACAATGTAGAAAATAATATTTCTGGATTAAGAACATAGAAAGCCATTATTTAAACTTTAAATAATAGCTTACTTAAAGAAAGTACATTACTTTAAGTAAGCTTAGATAGTATACTACTATAAAAGTAGATAGTATAATATACTTTTGAAATCCATAGTATACTACTATCTAGTATACTACTATAAAAGTAGATAGTATACTACTTTTGAAATCCAAGAAGCATGATTTTCTAGTGCCTGTTGTATTTTTTCTATCTTAAATGGAAATCTTTTTCATCATGGCAGAATTAAGAAATATACATTTTATTTATAACCATGGCAGAGATTTTTTTGGTTAGAATAATTTGCAGTGTCAAAAAAGTGTTCATATTCTAGAAATTGGTCTCAGGATTTTGTTGAGATGGATACTTTTAGATCACTGACTATCTTTTTAGACCAAAGCAATCTATGTTTAAGTGTTTCATGCTATATACTTAGTGTATGATGTATATATTCCCAGGCTTGTTGCCACAGAACATCTGGTTTTTAGGAAATTCAGTTTGATATATATAAATAATAAAATTATTCTAGGTTGGATAAAATAAATGTAGACATTAAATTCAGAAAATATCTATCTACCAAAAAAAAGTGTATTTTTATATTGTTTTTTATGAATATCACTGTGAGGAGCTAGTTCTAACCTCCTTGTTTAAATTACACTTTAGCCTTGATCATTCTTTCAGTGTGGGACCTTTTGTACAATTAAGCCAGTAAATTTGCTTTTTACTTGTGTTGACGGGAAAAGGGTACAGCAGGCAATTTGGAGAGTGAAAAAGACATTAAACCAGAATTTCAAAGATAGGATTTATGGTCCCAGATTTGCCACTAACCAGCAAAGTGACCACAGATTAATTGCTTTATTGCCTAGATTTCAGTCTGTTCATCTATAACCTGATGAAATTGACTTAAATGTCAGCTGATACTATTCGGTTATTCTACTATGTGTGTCTGGCCCACATCAGTTCTCTTAGATTAGCTTAAAGGGTAGTGATACACTTTAAATTCTGGTATAAAAGGTCAACAAGAAAACAATGCAGATAATTATTTTCTTCCTCTTATTAAAATAGCAGTGCCTCCTGGAAGTCTGAAATTCATCTTGTTTTTATACCTTAAGTTAAGAAGATGCTATAATACTTACTCTTGGCTTACAGGAAGTTTAATCTGATGTTATGACTTTTTGCCGTTCAAGAATAATGTTTAAGGAGTGAAGGTAATATATAAATATTGTATCCACATATATCACTAAAAATTCTACTAAATTCAAAATATACATTATGTTGACTATGATGTAAATGACTGTGTACCCCCAACACCAAATTCATATTTTGAAACCTAATCACCAATGTGACAGTATTAGGAAATAGGGCCTTTGGGAGATATCTTCATGGATGGGATTTGTGTACAAAACACATACACATGCACAAATGAAAAATCAATATAAACTACACACTTGTTTCCAGTATTTTAACCTAACAGGTAATTGCTATGTGACGTAGAATGTTGGTTCTCAGCACATTTTCCCCACCACAATATACATGATAGATGATGTTTGTGTGGAAGACACATTTTCATCACATGTTTAGATTTTTTTTAATGCATTTCAAAATTGTGGGGAAGCAATGTACTACACACTACTGATTCAACTGTGGTGTGTCAGTGACTATTGCTCAGAAGAGCTGCATCATGGGTTCTAACTCCAATCATGTAAGCACATGGCATTGCAAATAAATGCCAGGTAATTCACCCTTCTTTGTGCTAAATTGCTTTTTAAAAGTAAATAATTTGCAAACCTGAGTATTTTAGCTATTGTTAGTACATATCTTTATTCTCATCTCACTACCTATGTGTTGTAAAACCTAGGCTGAGGCCTTGTTTTACAAGATGAACCCAAGAGATTTCCTGAATGAAGGTAGCTGAGTTCCATTTATACTTCTATCTTAATTGTGATGCTAACTCAGAAAAGGAAAACTCTGTAGAAGTAAGTCTATATGAAAATTTAATTAAAGTTAGTACTTACCTTTCACAGAATTGTGCAAATACTCCTGGAAGCAGTATTTCCTTTCCTATAGCCTCTTGAATCTACCTATATATGAGTAAATTATTAAATTTTATTCAGACTAAATAACACAAAATCCTAAAAAATAGGTGGTTTTAAAAGCATTATTAATCCACCTAGTTCTAACTCTGGCCATTGTTACTTAGAATATGCCATGTATCTGTATTAAATATTAATATTCTTACTCCAAAATAGCACATGTATAAAATGTATGCTGACACAGAAAGAATATAATGTCTGATTAATACACAGATGAAAGTTCTTATGAATTCGTAGGGATATAAAGACCATTATTTAGGTGATGAAAACCAAATCTGCATTTGCAGATCTCCTTTATCCTAGAATTCACACCCCTTAGGTCTTGGATACTGAAACTTTAGGAACCCTCTTGGACAAGAGATAACTTCAAAAATGGAAGCCAAATATTAATACCAATGGCTTTCTCCCTCACTTATTTCTCTGTCTAAAGGACGCTTTCTCCAAAAGCCTTTCTAACTCCCTCTCAAAAGCAGCTCCCACTGTCATCCCAGCCTCTATTGATCTCTAGCCCTTTTCCTCCTTAAGCTATCTTTGTAGTGTGTGTCACTCCCTGATATTATTTATTTTACATTCCTTTATTTTCTGCTCCTCTCAAAAGGATGTGATAATCAAGTAGGCAATGATCTAGCTCAGTTTTTTATCTTTGCGTTCCCGAAACCTAGAATATGGTCAGCCACATAGTAAATGCTCAATAAATATTTGTTAAAGAGAACTAGATGTTTTCCACAGAATAAATGTCTTTAGTCTACAAACTTTGCATATTTCATTTTCTTAAAACAGATTTATTTGGGTTTTACATAATCTTGAAAAAAGAATGAATTTGAGGACTATTAACTCACACCTAAAATGTTAGAACATTATTCTAAGATAAATTTAAAATTATACCTGACAACAGTATTAAAAGCAGGTGATCTTGCTGACAGGAACTCAAGTCTGTTGATACCCTCCCAGCCTTATAATATGAATAGGCTGAATTTTTGTTGATTTCCTTAAGTCTCTGCACTTAAGCTAGAAGTTTTTAATTGGTAGAGACAGCCCAACCTCGAATGCTTCCAAAAGAATACAACTGTCTTCTTCCAGTTTCTCACACTCTTACTCCAAGGAGCCTATGTGGCTCCCTGGTTAAGATATGTTACATAGCTTAGCAACGTGGTAACATTCCTTAGAAAAATCTAAATTCTAGAACCTTCTCAGACCTCCAGTTACCCACTTGATGAAACCACATGGCCACAAGGGACTTTCCTCAGTTTTGGACATATAATAGAGTTAAATCCAATGCAAGAGAAAGAAAAATGAGAAAGATAAAACAAAGAGCAATACAAATCAAATGTATAATTTTTCCCACAATTCTGCTTAAAGAACAGTTATATAACCAAGTTTAGCTTAATCAAAAACCAGTGGGAGAAGGTATACATGCTTTTAAGGAGTTTCTAATAATTGTGAATGGAATACACTGCTCTGGTAGTCAGAATGTGCTGACGACTGTTCAACAGCCGTGAAAAAATGTTGAAACGGTAATTAGAAGTCATAGAGAAACATACACACATGTACGTGTGGTGCTTCACAAGATTTTTCATAACACATGTGATTTTGAATTTCTGAGTTACAGCCTCTGAAGGCAATATAGACAATTTCTGAAAGGCAAATGCTAACTTAAAACAGTGCAAGCAGAGCCTAATTGGTCTATTTTCTTGACTGGCCCAAGAGTTAAAGGCTTAAATGCCTTTGCCCATAACCCGTTCATGATTTATGCCTCCCTGCTTTTCTGTAGTTTACGGGGGATTTTATGGCAGATATAATTGTCTTTCTAAGGTAATTTTCAAATTTTGAGATATTTAGTCTTCAGTTTGTGTCAGTTGAGAAACTTTTTTACAGCTAATAATAGAGAGCAGAAATACTATTTTAAGTAAGATAGACATATATTTATTTCTTCTTCACATGAAAGAGGTCAACCGTCTAGGGTTGGTATGGACACTTTATGAAGCATCATTATGGACCTCGGCTTTATCTATGTTTTAGGTCCATCTTTGTTTATATTTGGCTTCCATTTTTGAAATTAGCCCTCGTCCAAGATAGTTCCTGAAGTTCTAGTCATCCAAGATCGCTGCTATATTTGCATATATCAAATCTATACTCCAAGCAGGAAATAAGAGGAAGGTTGGAGATGTAAGGGCTGAGAAGGGCATGTGCTAGCTATCTGCTCCCTTTGTAAGAGCTTTTTCATGGTCCCAGACAATAATCTAGATTGCATTAACCATTTATAGCTGCAAGGAAGGATAGAAAACGTAGTTTCTTAACACGGCACATTGACACCCCATTCTAAAACAGAGGCTCTAACAAGAGAGAAACAAAGTGTATATTGGGTTATAAAAAGCAGCCTCAACCACAGATCCTGACATTAGTACCTACCTCTGTGTAGAAGAAGTCTATACACTGTGTGCTGTGCTTTCCCTTAAAGAGGGCCACTAGAGAAAAACATGTACCAGGCTATGTAACTATGTTATTTTCCCTTTATAAAGACCCATGGGGAATTTTCTGGTCTCATTAATAGGAAAAAAATGATACAACTGGCTTCTTTGCATTAATTCTGTCAGAATAAAAAAGACAAAGTTTGTTCTGCTGCACTGCTCAGGGTAGCACAGGTATCTTTGTTGCCTTGGATACTCTATTATTTTAGCAAAGAAAATAGATGGAGAGTTTTTTTTGGAATATGTGCATATATTTATGAATGGTAATTAGTGATTTTTAAACATTATCTGGGGATCATGATAAGCAGGAAATCCACAGATTGTTCATTTTTCACAGATATTTTGAAAATTGTTATGAACTGAGTTTTGTCCCCCAACAAATGTATATATTAATCTCTAACCCCCAATGTGACTGTATTTGCAGATGGATTCCTTAAGGAGGTGATTAAGGTTAAATAAGGTTATAATGGTTAGACCCTAATCTTACAGTCCTATTGTCTTTATACTAAAAGGAAGTGACATCAGAGCCCTTTTGTCTTTTTGCATTAGCTGGCCATGTTAGGACAAAGCAAGAAAGGGACATCTATCACCAGTAAGTGGTTCCTCACCAGACATTGAATCTGTCAGTGCCTTGATCTTAGCCTTACCAGCTTCCATAACTGTAAGAAATAAGTTTCTATTGTTTATAAGTCAGCCAGTCTAGCATATTTTGTTATAGCAGCCCAAATTGACTAAGCAAGGCTTCAGCCTCCAGAACCTTGAAAATATCAATTTCTGTTGTTGAAGCCACTTAGTCTGTTCTCTCCATGAATAAGCAGTGTGGTCACATCTCAGAGCTGTGAACTAGTTAGGTCTATTTATTTTGATCACCTAAAATTCTCGCTTTGCATTTACTATAAAAATGCCACAGGGGTCTGATTAACATATGAGAAAGCAATGTAAGGAAGAGATGCTAATTTAACACAGTGGAAGAATAAACTAATTTTATCTGGTGTTTTGACTATGCTATACTCTGTTCTGTCAATTTTAAAAGCATATTTTTCAGTCTCGAATTTGTAACAAATACCTGTGATTTGTAACAAATATCTGTGATTTGTAACAAATCGCAGAAAACAGTACTTTTCAGTCTGTGATCTCTAGAGCACGGCAAAAATGCTGACGTAAGTGACATAGAAAGAATTCTACAATGGCCCCCAAGATTTCCTCCCTGTGGTATACACACTCTGTGTTATCTCCTTCTCTTGAGTGTGAGTAGACCTGTTAATATGATAATATTGCTCCTGCAATTAGGTTGCATTTTCTGGCAAAGATGAAGAGATTTTACAGAGATAAAGTCCCTAATCAGAATGACTTTGAGTTTATCAAGCTCTGTTAATTGAAAGGAGATTATTTTGGGCTGGCCTAACCTAATCAGATAAGCCCTTTAAAAGAAGATATAGGTCTTACTCAGTGTGAGAGATGTTCCCCTGCTGACCTTAAAGAAGCAAGGTGTTAGGAGTTCTACAGTTGGAAAAAAAATGAATATGCCAACAACCATGAGAACTTCAAAAGAAGGACCTTGAAAGAGGACCTCAAAGGAAGACCCAAGCCAGAGCACATATCTTGACTGCGGCCTTTCGAGAGTTCTCACCCAGCTCTTTTCCAAAGACTTCCTGTTAGTCATACCTTCTTCTAAGAATATGAGTAACTCAAAACTTCAAAAGAATTAAAAAGAAGCTCTTCGAAAAAATGAATAAACCCTCAGAGTTCTCTTCATAGATTTAAAATCTGAGTTCACATTGGATAGGCAGAAAATATAAAGCTTCAGGCCAGGTATGGTGGCTTATACCTGTAATGTCAGTGTTTTGGAAGACTGAGGTGGAAGGATTGTTTAAAGCCAGGAGTTCAAGACCAGCCTGAGCAACATACCAAGACCCTGTCACCACAATACAATTTTAAAAAAAGAAAATATCGTTTCTTCTTAGAAGGGCACTGTACCAAAACTCCTAAGCCCAGTTACTTACCTTGTTATTGTCCAGTCATAACCAAGCCCATATGATCATCTTAGAGCCTCCTTTGGCAGGCATAGGAGTCACTGTGGCTTACAACATTCTCTGGCTGATAACATTGACTTTTCTGGTCTTTTCAGAAGTTATGGATTAAGATTATCTCTAGAGTCTCTTCTGGCACTATGATTTGATTTTGTTTTCTTTCATGAGGTAAAATAATATTATTTCCAGACACACAAAAAAATAAAAATACAACAAAACCACCTTTGAAATTTATAATTCCATGATATCAAAAGATGATAGAACAGGAAGTTCTAAGCCCTCATCTCCCTGTAGAAACAATTATGTTTTTAACAATGATAAGTTAACAATGATATACAGAGCAAAATAGCTTTACACATAGTTCAACTTCCAGTTAAGAAGTACCCCAGATGAGCAAAAATACTGATATCAGCCACATTGAAATTAGTTGGAAGAACAATTTTACTTTACCTGCATCAGTCTCTCCCCCAAGTTGGCACAGCTCTGAACTGGGAGAAATTGCTTTAGCTTGTGGATGCTCCATTCAGGAATAGGGAAGAGAGTGGAGCATATATTCATCATTTCTGGCATTTTGGCACAGTGCTCAAGAGACTTCTTTTTTTTCTGCCTCACTCAGAACACTGAGAGAATCAGAATAGTTTAAATTCCTAGGGGAAGTCAAGAATAAAGAAAAGAGTTGGGTAGCTCACCACAGCTGGCACAATTCTGCTTAATCTTCTTCCCCAGGAGGAAAGGAGGGAAGTGAAGTATACATATCCCTAGAAAAAAATTAAGAGGCTCCCAAAATCTGTAGCTAGGCTGTTTGGTGAAGGGCTTTCCATGTTGAACCCAGGCCTAATGAATGGGAGAAGTGGCTATTTTTTCAAATATACAGACACCAACACAAAGCTACAAGAAATATAATGAGTCAGAGAACTATGACACAAACAAAGAAGGGAAAAAAACGCACTATCAACTGGTCTTAAGGAAAGATCTGTGAATTGCCTGACAATTCAAAATAATCATTTCGTAGAAACTCAGTGAGTTATATAAAACAATACAGATAACTAAATGAAATCAGAAAAATGAAAAATGAACAAAATGAGAATATCAACTTAAAAACCGTAAAAAAGAGCCACACAGAAATTCTAGAGATAAAGAATACAATAATTGAACTAAAAATTTTTACCAGAGGGACTCAGTGGCAGACTAGATCCAGCAGAAGAAAGGCTCAGTAATTTTTGAATACATGTAATTTAAAATTATCCAGTCAGACTGGACATGGTGGCTCATACCTGTAACCCCAGCACCTTGGGAGGTCGAGTCAGGTGGATCTCCTGAGTTCAGGAGTTTGAGATCAGGCTTAGCAACAGGGTAAAACCTGTCTCTACCAAAAATACAAAAAATTAGCCAGGCATGGTGGTGCCCCTGTGATCCCAGCTACTGGGTGGGAAGAAGGTGGGAGAATTGCTTGAGCCCAAGAGGCAGAGGCTGCAGCAAGTCAAGATTGTGCCACTGTACTCCAGCCTGGGTAAGAGAGTGAGACCCTGTCTCAAAAAAATAAAAAATTTAAAAAGTATCTAGTCACAGGAAAAAAAGTAAATAGAATGAAAAAGAGTGAAGAAAGACAAAGGGTCTTCTGTAATACCATCAAGCACACTAATATATGAATTATGCATGTTCCAGAAGGAGAAGTGAGAAAGAAAGGGACAGAAAGCTTATTTAAAGAAATAATGATTGAGCCAGGCATGGCAGTGGATGCCTCTAGTCCCAGCTGCTAAGGAGGCTGAGACAGGAAAATGGCCTGAGCTGAGGAGTTGAAGGCTGTAATGTGCTATGATTATGTCTGTGAATACCTACTTCACTCCAGACTAGGCAACATAGCAAGAGGAAAGAAGAAAGAAAGAAGGAAAGAGGGAAGGAGGGAAGGAAGGGAGGGAGGAAAGGAGGGAGGGAGGGAGGGAGGGAGGGACACAGAGAAAGAGAAAGAAAGAAAGAAAATGGAATGGAGAAAGAAAGTAGAAAAAGAAGGAAGACTGGTTGAAACCTTCTAAACCTGGAGAGGGAAATAGTTGTCTAGATTAATGAAGCCCAAAAGATCTCAAATAGTGTGAACCTAAGGAAATCCACATCAAGACACAACATAATCAAATTGTCAAAAGTGAAAGAGAGAATACTGAAGGCAGCAAAAGAAAAGTGACTCATCGTGTACAATGTAACCTCCATAGGACCATTGGCAGATTTTCCAGTAGAAACTTGCAGACCAGGAAGGAGTAGGATGGTATATTCAAAGTGCTAGGGGAGTTTGTTCTTTTCCCCCCAAGATATCAGATTGGAGGCATTGTTATCGTGCCTCTCCCACTTGGAAAGTGGGAGAGATTCTCACGTGAACTTTCTTCCAAGAAGAAAACACAGGAATGTAATAAGAAAATTGAAAGCCACATACTCTTTGAAAGAAGTATTGGGCTGTAGCCTACACTGTGAGCCAGGTAGAAAACTGTAAGTCCCCCAGAGTGAAAAGGGTATAGACTACCTCTGGAACATACACTCCCACTGGGAAACATGGCAGTCCAGGCCATGGGGGAAGGCCTTAACTGTACCCAGTATTGGAGCTGATTTAGTGAGCGGTGGGGAGTATATGAGAAGAATTGGCATTAGAACAGGCTTTATATTCATTTTCAGTCTCCATCAGTGGTGAAGGGAAGCCATTCCTGATTCTGCCTCACCGGAGACCTTGCATAAATCTACCAGCCAACTCAGGTGGTGGTAACAGGCAGAAAGAAGCTCCCAACTGAGATTCATGATATAATCTTCAGTGGAGACAACCCCCCTTGGCCAGAACTGAGGAGTGAGTGGGAAGTGTGCCATAACCACAGGCATAGGGGCTGGGTGCCCCTGCTTCACAGGTGAACCAGGAGGGGCATGGCCTAAAATCCATGGTTGCTGTTTCCTTCGGGGAAGGAATATGGCCTGGAGCAGTTTTGAGTTCTGAGCAGACTATATGGAACCTAGCTGCTGCTAGTGGAATGCTGCAAGTATGACACTGGCCTTGCCCAGTGAGTGGGAGCCCACTGCCACCTGCTACTCTCCACTCCCCATGTGGACTCTTCTGTACCGCAGAGGCAACTGTGCTTTTCCCTGGAACATTACCCTGGTAGCTGGAGAACTGCTCTACAATCCCCAATGGGGCCACTGCTAACATGTGAAGGGCCAGAGCACAGACTTGCCTGACCCAGGTCCTACCTGGCTTTGCCCTTCTAACCACCCTGACAACTTAACACAAAGTATAAAAACTTTTGTGAGTAGAGTTCTGCGTGGCCCTGCCCATTTCCTGAGTCACCAGAGTACGTCTTCTGGATAACATAAGGCAAACACAAATCCCTCTGCTACCATTGCAGCTGGTGCTCTTTTGCAAATGGCACTGGCTGGAGGCCAAGTGCCACGGTCCATTACAGCCTCTACAAGCACAATAACAGTGTGGAGGATGGAGAAAATGTGTGTGTGTGACCTCAGTTATCACCATTGCCTGTATCACCCTGGCTAACCAGGAGGTCCTCAGTCTGTTCACCTGACCAGTTCCTTACTAATACAACCAGCATTTGAGAAAGCCAGCAACACACTAAGGCAACTTGTAGTGAAGGAATATCACAAACTGTGTCACTTCCCTGACACCCTTTTCAGAGCTGCCGCTGATACCCACTGTGCCTTGAGGACAGATCACATCACTGGACCCCTTACAGACATTCCCCGGTATCAGCCTGAAGTGTGGCAGCCCCACTGGGCAGCTAGACCTAGAAGAGCAGCAACATGCATAGTAGTCTGGCTCTAAGGGGCTCCTACTCCCAGGGGAAGGGGAAATACACCACATCAAGGGAACACCTCATGGGACGAAAACAACAACCACAACAACAACAACAAAATCCAGATGGTAGGCCTTGAGTTCTAGAATTTTCTACTTGTGAAAAGTTTCTTTCAGCAGAGGCAGAGGTGCAGTGCTAGGCTCGGTGGAGAAAATCTGCAGCTCCACTCCAGCAATGAGGCAGTCCTGGTGCTCCTGAAGGGTCTTGGAGAATGGGACTTCTTTTCTCCCTCATCCACCACTGCAGATACAGCTGCGGCTCCTCCCACAGGAGCTCAGCATGGCTGCACCTGTAGACAGCCTTTCTGGAACACTTCAGGGTGACTGCAACCTCACAAGAGGACTGCTTTCCAGTTGCAGGCTTGCATGAGGCGTGGGATTCCGCATGCAACATCAGCATTCCTGTAAATTAAAAGAAGTACCTGTTTGATCTGAATAGTTGCGACATTGCATCAGGAGTGTGACTGTGAGGTGAATTGCTTTCTTGCTGAACTGGCAGGGGACCTGAGGTGGTCCCTCTCTTCCCCTGAAAAGATCTTAGTGCATTGCACAAAGAGCTCCCCCAGCTGCCTCTGTCAAGGCTGGGACTTCTGCCCACCAGTGGGTATTGGGCTTGCCAACCTGCATTAACCACAGCTTGTTTTTACCTATGGATACCTTCCCTCCTGGCCTGAAGCCTGAACTATTCAACCCAGTAAATAAAACACTGGGGGAAAAATAAATAAATAAAGTACATATCACTGGGGAATGAAATAAGCTTCAAGAGACCTCTGCCAATGCAACCCTGCAGGAGGCAGTGAACCTACACACAAACTAAGCACATTACTGCTACAGCCAGCATCTAAGAAAGCCACCATACAATGGCTCTATATAACCAAGGAACTTATTCAGAGTCTCCACCCAAAAAGCATGCAGAGCTGAACTAGATTACGATAAACTAAAAACATTAAAGTCACATCTTCAAGGGGGAATTTCTTTTTTTAAATAACAGTCAAATAAATTAAAAAAAAAACTAGGTCCTCACATTTAAACCTTTATCTTGAGCACTATGGAAAATTAGCTTATTGGATTAGCTAGTTAAGATCTTGGAAAGGACAAAGACTTTTTGTGACAAAGGACCAGTTTGTTTTGAATAGTCATGTGACAAAATGAGAAAAGGCTGGGGAAAATGGCATTAAACCTGGATAACTAGGTGAGAGGAAAGAGGGTATTGCTTGAGGAGGGCACTGCATCATAGATATGGATGAAACTGGCTGGCACAGGCTGGAGTGTGTCGCATGTGTGTTCTTTCTCACACTAGATAGTGAGCCTCTGAAGAGGGGGTCCGGTGTCTTACTCCCCTTCATAGTCCTCTCTGTGATCTGCACACAGCAGCACTGCACATGCTCCATGTCAGTTAGTTGAGGTCCTGAAAAGGGAGTGTCCAAAAGATGGCTCTGATAACAGGAAAAAGATAGGGGAATTCTGAGAGAGGCAGGGCAGTGGGTGAGGGGTCAGTTTTGAAATAGCAAGAAAGGGAAAGGCCTTAAAAGAATGAAAGAGAAAGAACTGACAATGACAGAAATAGAGGTAGAGCAGAGATGGAGAACTGGAAGAGCCAGTTAGTAGACAAAGAGAAAGCAAGGAGCGTGTAGACGTGGTTGTTGGGTCAGTGTGCCCCATCTAGAGGGGATAGGGATGGAACCCACAACAAAGAGCGGCCATTCATAGTGCTTAATCTGTGTGAAACCTTTTACCTCCATCATAACATCTAATTTTTAAAATACTTTGTGAAGCAGCTGTTATCTACATTGTAGAGATTAGGAAACTGGCACTCAAAGAGGTGAGGTAATTTGCCCTGAGAGCAAATGCATTAAACTGAGGTTCACCAGATTTCAAATCCAGTGCTCTTACTGATGACAAGTGGACACTGAACTGCTGCCAGAC